AAGCCTTGCAACTCAATCCTATGTATTATCTCTTCCTACTATGACAATAGAGACATATCGGAGAAAGAATGAGATGTGAAGATTTTTTTCTGGTTTGGTTCTGTGCTGAAATATTTTGATAAAGTGGGAGAAAGCATGACCATCAGATTCTATGTACAGATATGGATAAGCTCAATTGAGTATTTTTACATTCAGGGCCTGTATTGAGCCAAAACCACAGACAATCCCCTTATATTGTAGGGACCAAGACTTTCTAATAAAAGAAACTTTCAGAAACACACATGGGACTACTTTGCATGTGTTCTTACTTCAGGTTTTGCCCTTTGGTTATTATTTTCACTGTCACACATCTGAGCGTCATCCATAAAATTCATTATTCTACTGAGTATTCTCCTTACTCTAATTTTATGAATACCCATTAGTCTCAGACTAATCTTAGAATATTTCTCCCATGGATTATCTAGGACCTTTCTCACTTAATATCAGATACAGCTGTCACAGCAGCAAAGGTGTGTGTGTGTGTGTGTGTGTGTGTGTGTGTGTGTACAAATCAACATAGTTAAATAGGCACCGTCTCAAAAAGAGACAACTGCCACCGTTGGTAAATGGGAAACAGAGAGGAAAATAAATTTAACCTCCCTGAAGCCAAGATGATCCGAGACTGCACCAAGCTTACATTTTTACACACATTCACAGAGGGTATTTTTTAAAGGCTTCACACCTTTTGATGCACATCACATTTGGCCCAACCATTTTATTCTTTCTCTCAAGCTCTGCCAATGTGAACAGAATTAGGAACACATTGTAAAGCATATGACCTGTGTGAAATTTCATATTAGCTGAGTAAAATCCTAGACTTGATTCTAGCCAACTCATCGCACATACTTGTATCTCAAACCATAAGTTTGGATAGAATTGTAAGTTTTTAGAGTTGAAAGAGGTTCTCTAGTTATGATCTGTTTCAGCCTCTTATTACACATAGGTGGAAACTGAATCCATGAGAGGCAAATGGAAAACAATAAAACTAATGAACAGTGGAGAGAGTGAAGCTATCCAGTTGCATGACCTAGGTGTTTATAGGTTTAACTCTACAATGTTGTTGTGTGTGCATGAATTTCTGAAGGACAACCATACACATATAAAATCAGTTCTTTCATAGTTGGTGAAATCTGTGCTTCTTGCTTGATGTCTTCCCAATTATTGATAGGACAACATTAAGTATCTGTTTTCAATTGATTGTTGTTTGTATGTTATTGGCTTGAAGTCTCTCAAAAGCAGAGTGTGAGAAAAGAATGTCTAAACAATAAGTTTATCTGGAGGCAATTCTAAAATCCAAGAGTAAAGAACAAAGAGGCAGAAGCTACTACTGTGGGTATTTGGGTTTTCACCTTTTGGGGATCCTTTAGGCAGTGCAAAAAAAAAGCCTGCCTAAGAATAGACTCCAAATAACAGAAGACTGGCTCATTTATCTGTGGACTGTCATGGTCCATTGGCCGAGGACTGCCCCCAAGGAGAGGGTTAGTTTCATGGTTCCTCATGCTTATGATGTACGAGAATGGCTTGAGGCAGATAAATATAGAAAATGCCACCAGAGCTGTAGTTGAAGTCAGAATGGGTACGGGCTACTCGACCAAGAATATACAATACAGAATTACAGAGATACCACGCAATACCAAGCAATTTTAATATTTCAGTCATTCATTTCTAATTTAAAAATAAATGTAGGGTTTAGCTTCATAGTTTACTCACTCATTGGGTTATAATAAAGGCAATTTCAGAACACCCCATGGTTTGATTCATTAATATTATGATGCTAAATCTCCATGAAATTATGCATAAAATAAAATGTCAAACACTATGGGTTCAAGTACACACACACACACACACACACACACACACACACACACAGAGAGAGAGAGAGAGAGAGAGAGAGAGAGAGAGAGAGAGAGAGAGAGAGAGAGGGAACTACAAGCCTATGTGGATTTTTTCTTTCTTTTTTTTCTTTTCTTTTTTTATTATTTATTTTTAAGTTTAAATTTAGATTAGAAACAAGGTTGCTTCACAAGTCAGTTCCAGATCCCTCTCCCTTTCCCTCCCCTACTCCCGTGCCCTCCCCCCACTCCCCCGATTATCACCTCATTTCCCTAGAGAGGGTGCGGCCTTCCATGGGGGTGTCCATAGTCTGTCATTTCATCCAGGGCAGTGCCTAGACCCTCCCCCAAGAGTTCAGGGTGAGAGTGCATCTCACATTGTTGGATGGGAGTCCAAAGTCCGTGTGTATACTCGGGATGAGTACTGATCTACTGCCCAAGGCTCAATAGATTACCTAGGCCTCCTCACTGACACCCACATTCAGGGCGTCTTGATCAGTCCCATGCTAGATTCCAAGGCATCAAAAGTTAACCTTTGTCATGTCAGCTGTTTCTGGGGGTCAAATCAGCCCATTGGATTTTTTTCATAGTCACACCCATTCCTAATTATGTGGTGCCAATCTGATATTCTTGCTTTTTTAGATAGTATAATATTGTCATCCCAGATTTAAATGGCTTCAGAGATGTGGAAATAAGGTCAATTATTTTGCAATTCAACATTTAGGTGAGTGCTAAGAGAATTCTTTTTTTTTTTGTATTTTTGAATTATCACTAGAGACTGAGACTATTATTTGATGGGAAAAAGAAAAGAAAACACACTGAACTAAAAATCACCAATCAGTGCCCCCAAACAATTATTAAATTTTAAAGAAATACTCCTAGGCATGGATAGCCTGGCTATATATTTGGAACAGAAAATGATCAGGAAAGGGGATATTTTAGAGGTGATAAATATAGTAAACATAAGCATACATACTGTCCTTGCCAAATTTATTCTCAAATTTAAGGCTAAAGAAACATAGAAAAATATGGATTACATACAGAAAAATGAAAATGAGCAGTTAAAGAAATCTGCTCAGCATTGAGAGTGTCAAGTGCTATGGAAATTAATGAAATTGAGACAAATAGAAAGAAAACAAAAACATTCATTAAAGCTTGACTTTACATTCCCTGAAAGAGGCATATGGTAAAAGAATATTAATACATGAATTGTTGGACTGAGATTGAAAGTCTTTTAAAACACAACTGAAAAGGTTTATAGTTTTCTGATTTGGTACCCTTTAGTTTCCTGTTTTCTCCTCAAGAACACTGTCTAAATGCATATATGTCTGCTGGTAAAAGGATAACTTTGGAGAGTGCTATGATAAATAAAACTTTAAGGACCTCAGTCAAGGTCTTTAGAGAATTAGGTATCAGAGAAAACTAGCTGAGGTATACAGTTTGTATTATAATGTTGAGATGGTAGGAGATTTAGGTTCTGAACACACAAGGGAGCTAAATATGATCTCTAAAAAAGTTTCCAAAAGGTACATAAGTCACAGAAGGTCATGTTGTGTATCCAACCCAGGGAAGAATGTTAAAATTGGAAATTGAAGGAAATGTATTCAAAGATTTACAAATAAAGCCCAACAATTTAAATCAACACACTATTAAAATAATAAAGAATTCATAAATGATAGTTTAATGTTTTAAAACACTTAAGAATGCACAGCACAATTTTAAGGGTAAATTTCAATCATGAACTAGCCAAAATGACAAAACCACTAAAAGAATGTAATTCGGGTGCTCAAAGCTAGTGTTCTTGCCTTTGAGACACAGAAGTCAAAGGAACAGAATATATGAACTTCAGTGGTTTTTCCACTTCTTGATTACCAAAAATATTGTACACTACTGTAATAACAACAATAAAATAATAAATACCTACCTCTTAGGGTAAATGCAAGAATGAAATGAGATTAAACACAAGTACTAAGTATAGTATCTGCCATGAAGTGAGGGACCTACATATGATGCCGTATTTTTTTTTTTGCTCCAGTTGGTAAACAGTGTAATTGTGAGTCAATAGAACCCAAAGAACATGGTAGCTGTGTATGTTCTGTTTAGAATTGTAGTCCTGGGCCTGCCCACTGCAAGTTACCTGGTAATATCTAAATAGATGATCAGTTAAACAGACAGGATTCCAAAAGTTCCATTTGCTTCATTTTACAAAAAAAAGGAAAACAAAACAAAACAAATATATTCAAATGTCCCTTTATGAATTAACACTATGAACAGCAAATCAGATCAATGGGGGTCACGTAAAAAGACTCTGAAAGTTACATATGAATCCAAACCAGAAAACAATTTCCAGCTCAGGTGGACTTACAATGAATTACTCCTGAGTCACATATGTCAAGTGATCAAATCTCCCAGAAAACTGAAAAAACAATAAATAGCATGTTTGAAATTTTCTTGGTTTCCTAGACAGTGTTTCTCTGTATAACAGCCCCATCTGTCTTGGAAGTGATGTTGTAGATTAGACTGGCCTAGAACTCACAGAGATGCACCTGCTTTCGCCTCCCGAGTACTGGGGTTAAAGGCATGTGCCACAACTACCCAGCCTCAAATTTGAACTTTTAATGCCTCTTTTTTAGAGAGTGCCCATGAGCACACAACAAATACTTCTGTATTTTGTTTTCTGGGTCCTAGTAGGCTATAGTGGCATTGACGTGAAAAGCATAGGCTAATAAGGTGGAGTGGATTGAAAGAACTACTCAGATAAAATCCCATCCACTGACAACAAATAGGCAGCACTTTTGACTGTATCATTAGATTTACTGCCTAAAACCTCTATGCGGTTGAGCCCTGGGATGAGCAAAAAATAACAATGTTCAAACTAAATAATGGCTTAAAAAGCTGTAAAGAGAAAGGTCAACAGATAAAACATCACTATGATGTCTGGACAGGGTGTCATGAAAAAGCCAGGAAAACCAGCAAGAAGGTGTGTTCACTACTGTCAGCAAATGCTAGCCACAGTAACCTGCACATTTAGGATTTTTACCATTGCCATCTAAAGCAAAGGCCCACTTTTGAATTAGTGTGAAATACAGTGGCACTTTTAAATCAAAAAGTTTTGAAATGACACTCTACCTGCAAGGCACAACATGAATGATTGCAGCACTAGCAGTTCCCATGGCAACCTCATCTTCAGTTTCCGAGGTCAAAGGAGTTTCAAGTCCAATAACAAGTGAATAGAACCGCTGCTTCTGCTCCTTTCAAGTTTTGTGCAACCTTTAATCTGTGGACAAGAGGAGACATTACAATGAGATTTGGCTCTATGTCTACTTACAGTTTCTGAATACCTGTCTTTAATTTAATAAGAATAAAATCTGCTTGTGATAATATTTGAATGAAAAGAAAGAACACCAGATTATGAATATGAACACAAATAAAGTCTCTTACTTATATTTTGTTTTTTAATATATTTTTTCTCTATATATCTTATCCTGGCTCCAGACTCAAAACTCCTGCTTTAGCCTCCTCAGTACAAGGATTACAAATGTAGACGAACATACTTACTCTGCTTCATATTCCTTTCTTTCAAATAATACATAGGCAAGGACTAGGGCTGGTGTGACCCTGTAAGTACCTGGTAATAAAGATGGATCTCTTCTGATTAGGTAAGAATTAACTTGAAGGCAGTAGAAGAGACTTTGGTTTACAAGATCATTCTCTGTCCTTTAGTATTTTGTCTTCTTATTTTTTTTCAAAAAATAATAAATCAAAAAGTTAAATAGAGAATTGTCCACAGAATGAAATAAATAATGTGAGCTTTTCCTGGCCTTAATGTGAACTCTGAATTTCAGAATGGAATTGTGTAGGGAAACTGCACTCTACCAATGCATGTATTTCCCACTGTGCTCCATTTTCTATTTTAAAATTGTGCAACAGTATGGATATGACTTTTGTGAATATTCTTTCAAAGGTTCATGTTCAAGATGCTTAGCACAAAGTACTGTAAAGTAAGAGATAATGAGATCTGAGAAAGGCAGGACTCAGTGGGACCTGATCATGCCATTGAAGGAAATGTCCATAGAAGGGATTACGGTAAGCTGCTCAATGTACCCATGAATCCTTGCAAGACTGACTTATGACAGAAAGTCCTGGCTCATTCATTTCTTGGCTTCTATCTGCTATTGTCATCTCTTTCCTTGCATATACTCCTTGCTTCCATACGGCCTAGGGTTATTGCCAGAGTCTGTTCCAAACTGTTTGGACTTTAAGCTTCTAAAACTGTAAGCTATAACAAGCCTCCTTTTTTACACTGAGTAACTAACTGCCTTGGGTAAATCATTGAACTGAAGAAAAATGGGGTAAAGCTAAAGGCAGCCCAGGTACACAATTCCATTAGGAAAGTGCCAGCTTACAATCCCACTGTCAGAGAGTCTGGGAAACAGAATCTTTATCCAGTGACTGATGGAAGCAGATTCAGACACCCACAGCTAAACACTGAGCTGAACTCTTGGAATCCAGTAACAAAAAAGGAGAACTGATGAGCAAAGGGGTTAAAACTGGGCTGGTTTAACCTACAGAAATGGTTGACCTAAACAAGGGGGACTTCTTGGACCCCAGACTGATGGCTGGGTGGACAGCATTGGACTGATCTAGACCCCCTGAATGTGGGAGTTAGTGAGGAGACGTATGTAATCTATGGGCCTTGGGTAGTATTTATCCCTGTAATACAAATGAACTTTGAGTGGCCATCCCACAATGAGGGATGCTCTCTCAGCCTGGACTCATGGGGGAATGTCTAGGCCCTGCCCTGGATGAAATGACAGACTCTGGATATCCTACAAGGAGGGTCTTATCCTCCCTGAAGATTGATGTGGAGATTGGGTAGGGGACTTGGGGGCCTAGTGAGGAAGGCAAAGGAGGAGGGAAGCTTATATGTGAAACAAGCTTATATCTAACTTAAAAGAAAAAAAAAGAGGAAGAAAGAAAAAAAGTCTTCCTGTTGGGCAGTGGTTGCACATGCCTTTAATTCCAGCACTCAGGAGGCAGAAGCAGGAGGATCTCTGTGGGTTCTAGACCAGCCTGGTCTACAAGAGCTAGTTCCAGGACAGCTTCCAAAACCACAGAGAAACCCCATCTTGAAAAACCAACCAAACAAACAAACAAAAAAATGTCTTCCCAATTATGAGTTGGCATCAACTGGGCATGGAGAAATCCAAGACAAAATAAAAACCAAGGAAGAAGCTACAATGTTTTCAGGAAATGGATACAACTAGAGACAGCCTTAGATAAATTAACTCAGTCTCAGAAAGATAAATATCATTTGTTTCCTCTTATGCATGGATCCTGGTCCCATAGAGACTTAAAATCATATGTACAGACAACATGAAAGTAAACGCAAAACTGCTTAGAAGGGCAATGGGGACCAAATTGAGGGATGATGGAGAATAGGCTCACAGTGTGTTATGCGATTGCATGAAAATAGCCTCACATAGCACTATAAATAAAATCAAATAGAAAGTATAGAGAGTTTTTTAAGAGGTACTTAATCTTAAATTAACCCCCTTAATCAATTAATCATCACCTCCCTTAAATAAACAAGTACAATAATTTCCTCATTGGCTAGAAAACTTAAACTAGAATTCTGCAATAATGATAGGCATTTTATTTTGTGAACCTTTCAGAAACTACATAACCAAATTCATGAGACAAATAAGAAATCACTGGCATTACAGAGAGCCCTTATATCGCCTAGCAGAAAGGAGTGGTTTCTACCCATGCCCTTCCCAATCAGAGCAAATACATGAAGGGCCCAGGCTCAGATTTGTAGATGTACACACAACTTTTCAAAGTAAAACAGCATTGCATTTTGAAAATTTATCAAGTTTTAATGATTGGCAGTTTAAAATATTTTAAAGTAAAAACAGGAATGTTCAGTTAAAACTGAACACTTGATGATGGGACACTCAACCTTAAAACATTACAGCTTTCCCTCTAAGTCTCAAGGTACATTACAAAAGAGAATGGAAAGGATATGAAAGCCAGAAAATGGGGTGCAGGTGAGCTTTAAAATTCCTTCTAGGCAAGGCACACCAGTGAAATCAGGAACTCACAGCAGATTCTGAAACCTGCACAGGCACTATATAAGAATGGGCCCATCAACACTGAGGCATGGATGGACTAAGGGCTGACTTTCATTGGTTCTGATCTATTGAGGAGTAGGAGAGTCACTGCCTTCTATTTTTTTTTCCACCAGTGACCCCAGTATATAATTCAAACAATGCTCGCACAAATTGCTCTAATTAAATGAGTGGGTCAAAAATTAACTCAAATGTCAAGAATCTTAGACATACATTGGTATGAATGAAAATGTGGAGGAAAGAATGAGAAAGGATAGGGTGGGGGGGTATGGATACATTACAGACATATGCATAAAAATGCTAAAAATAAGACTAAAAATAAAGGATTTATAAAGGCTTGATAAGTTAATTTTTTAATTGAACCAAATTAACACTCTTGGAAATAACTTACCAACAATAGTTAGTGTCCTAAACCTTCAGTAAAAACTGATGGGTCATAATCTACAGATGATGAGTGTACAAATGGTAAAAACTTACCTGTATTTGAAACCTATTCTACTAAAGACTGCAGAAAATGCTATTTCAAAAGACTATATGTGTTTGTATCACTAGAAAATAATTTAGTAATCTCAAAATTTTCTATTATATATCCACTGTGCTGGTTAGTTTTATGCCAACTTGGCACAGCTAGAGTTATTTGGGAAATGGAAATCCTCAAGAGATAAAATGTCCCAACCAGAGTTTCCTGTGGTACATTTTCTTCATTGATGATGGATGTGCAAGGGCCCAGACTGTTGTGTGTGATGCCATCCCTGGGCAGATGGTCTTTTAATTCTGTAAGAAAGCAAGTTGCACAAGCCATGAGGAGCAAGCCAGCAAGAAGCACCTCTCCATTGCCTCTACAATAGCTCCTCCTTCCAGATTCCTGCCCTGTTGAATTTTTGTCCCAACTTTATTCAATGGTAGACTGTAATTTAGAACTGTACTCTGAAACAGATGTTTTCCTCACCAAAGTTATGATGTTCTATATCAGCAATACAAAACCCATCTAAGACATTTACTTAGGTGATGCTATTTTACAATGAATCTAATGATTGAACAAAATTAAACAAACTTCACTTTGTTACTAGAAGATCACTACATGCCCTCAGTGTTTTCTCTCATCTGCACATTTTTCCATATGTCTGGAAGGCAGCCATATATTATACTTACATGGAGAACTGTTTGCTTTCCAGATACAAGGGACCTGCCCAAATGAACAAGATACTGTCTCTAGCTTCCAGGAGCTCATGCTCTAGTGGTGACAGCTAGCCACCACTTTATCAACTGTAACATATGCTGTTATTGTGGAAGGATGAAACTTTCTGGCTTAGAAAAGAAAGGTGATTAGCTCCTTCCAGCCCAGTCCCTGAGTTCTGAAGGTATAGTAGGACTCTTATAGTACACCTGACAACAACATAACCAAAACAACAGACTCCAGAGGCAATGAACTGGCAACTCTGGCAGGAACTAACTGTGTAATCCTAAGTATCTCTTGGTCTTCCTGTGAAGGTTGCTTTGGAAAAAAATATGTCCTGGTTAAGACTATAAAAGTTCTTTGAAAATAATCCAGTACCACCAGTTACCAGACATGATTAATACAATCTCAACACACACAGACATACACACCCACCCACCCACCCCTACACACATACACGAATATGCATATACATTATAAGTGTAATGCATATGCACATCATGGAAACTTCCAGCTTTTTTGTTATTGAATATAACCCAAGACTTCTCATCTCATTCTTGTGTATGAAAGACACCCTGGGAGCAAAAACAGGCTTCTGTGAAAGGCACTCTCAGGATTAATTTACTATACCTGGCCACTGAAAAACCTTCCTGTCTGCAAGAAAGACAAGAGAAAAAGAGCTCCCATCATTAGAGAACTCATCTCTCTTTTGTGTCTTTAAATAGATCTACCTGTGATAGAACCAGACTTAATATTTTGTGAAGACAGGAGACATCCTTGACCTGTGATCTGCTGATGTGACTGAAATGGTGTTGTGTCTCTAATTGGTTATGTTCAGACACTCTTATAACATGAATGGTGATTAGGCCATTTTGGATAAACAGGATGTGCTGATCAATGAAAACTATTAATGTCTAAAGAGAGTGATCAGAGTATTAATAATTAATTTGCCAGGGCAATGTCATCTCA